TGTATGTGTGACTCTTTGTGTATGTGTGTGTATGCTTAGTGGGTGGGGCCCAATGCGTATTTTATATGTTATTACTTGTTATACTTTTATGCTTATATGTTGGACGGGGCCCGTTGTGTGAGTTAGAGCGAGGCTTGTTATACTCAGTGGGTGGGGCCTGTTATGCAGTTAGGGCGAGGCCTGTTATACTCAGTGGGCGGGCCCATTATGCGAGTTAGGATAGGGCCCGTTACACTCATTGGGCGAGGCCCATTATATGTTTGATATGTGTGGTATGTGGTATTTTTTTCTGGGGGGGGGGGGGGGGGGGGGACTCACTGAGCTTCGTACTTACGTTTTTCATTTTATGTTTCAGGTACTTCTAGTGAAAAGGGGAAGAGTTCGTGGTGATTGCAGTGCACACACGATATTGTTCCGCATTTTCATGATAACTCTGATATTTTATAATGTGTTGATACATTGTTCTACTTGGGATTTATGAAGATATTTTGGGATGCTGTTTTCATTAATTTAAAAAAACTAAAAATTTTGGTTTTAAATTTTGGCACGTTACATTGTTCGTCGGATATTAATTCAATGGATTCCCAAATAATGAAAATAGAAACTATATATGTTTAATGTGTAGTTCAATAAACTTTATAACAATAACTTATATTTCCCTTTTCCTCACTTGAAAATGTATGAGATTTATAGAGCTAGAGAGGACGATTGACAATTTAAATATCCAAAAGAGTATTTAGCTTAAATTGATATATTAATGAAGTTTTTGAGAATAAATTCCTCAACCATGTGCTTAAAAGGTAATGCGTCATTTTCATATTCTTCATCTGGCAACCTAGGGGTTAAAGTATGGCTCCAAAGCTAAAAATCAAACCCTACAAGTGTTGGATTGATGTTTTAGGCTTAGTTTTGTTCAGTAAGTTACCAGGTTCTGCTATTTTGACATTCATAACTTGATTGTGAAGATAAATGAAAATTTAAAGCTATAAAACTTTAATGATTATGGAAATCCAAATTTTTATTTCATGATATAGATGTTGTATCTAAATTTATTTTGATGTTTCTAAACTTCATATCAGCTACAAGATCCATCATGTAACTTATCTTGAGATTTATAAACTCAATTGTTGAATTTATATCTAAGTTTGCTTATTTAGTAATCACGCTTATGGCACTTATTTTGAGATTTCAAGCTTGACTTAGGGTTTCAATGGTGATTCAAGCTTTACTTATGACTTACATTCACTTTTGATCTATAAAAATATTGGAATTGTCATTACCTTGAACCGGTAATTCAAATTGGAACTCAATTAAGCTTGTATAAAAAAATGATGTGAAGTTTAGATTAATCAAGCTTTTTGATGCTTAAATTACTAAATCATCATGATTGAGTGTTACACATAAAATAACATGTAAACTTGAAATACAAATCCACTTTTAAATTTATAAAATTGAACAAACCAAACTGAGGTTATCAACACCAAATAATGGACTTGATCATGAATAACATAACCTAGGTAAGTACAAGTGTCGGACACATGGGGAACATATTATATATATATATATATATATATATATATATATATATATATATATATATATATATATAATGCTATTATTAAATCTAATTGTTAATATGCCTCAAAGGAAAACATATAAAATGGAGTTTATGATTAGTGTCACTTAAAACAAACAAGGTTGATTGTATGGAAAACCTATATGAATGCATTCATACTTGGACTTAATCATTCCTATTTTATGGTTGATTTCTATTATGTGCAATGGATATTGGTTTGTTCCTTATCAAGACCTAAATTGATTAGATCAACTACCGATATCTTTTATCATATGTTTCTAATTTATTTACCAACAAGGATAGGTTTCATAGATCCGTTATGTTAATTTGTATAATGTAAGACTCAATTGGTAATATTGGTCCCAACACTAGCGATAACCTTTCAAACATAACGTTATTAGCTTACGTATCATGCACATTAAATTAAAGCTCATATATTTAACCTAAGGATACCATCATCTAGTCGCAATTACCTAACCTAGTAGTACAATCATAATTCAAGTAATATAATCCAAATCCAATATAAATCATGCAACTTAGTTACATAACATAAAAGCATCAATAATAACATCCATATATCTCTAATCAAGCAAACATAATAGATTAAACAACTTTAATTATCCAAATATCAATCAATAATAAAATTAAGGTTTTAGAAATATCAAATATTCATAGAGTCTATGATCCCAAATCTCGACAAGAACATTTAAGAAATCAAAGAGTTGGTTAATTATATACAAAAAGTAAATAAATTGATAACCTAATAATTTTTCTATTGATCTTCAAAATTCTACTCCATATCAGTCGGCTAATATCCCATCATGGCCCTAAAAACGTCTTTCCTTGGTCTGGATCTTTTA